TCAGTTGTCTTAACGTGACTAAAGAACCTAGCTACGCTCAATGCATCAAATCCCTCTATTTGCTGAGGTTTCTGGGTCACATATAGCATTATTTAAAAAAATATATTAGTTGCAATACATTACCAAACAGAAGCCAGCCATTTGTTTTAGTGTCAGGTCATCTGTCTCACTCTCTTCAAACCCTGAAGCTGTTTCTTCACTGAGCACTGATATATGAGAGCATTATTATTGTCAGGAAGGCTGGCATGGATCAAACGCATCAGTATCTACCAGTAATAGAGCCCTCCTCACCAGTTTGGTCTGTAGGGAGTCAGGAGCTGCAGAGGTAAGGGATGAAGAAGGAGGAACGCTCCCCATTTGCAATTCACCTTGATAATCAAAGCACTCCACCTTTCAAGCTACACAAGCGGGTCCGCTGTGAGATGCTGAAATTGTACATATACCTGCCAAGCTGTCGAGTCTCATTTTTGCTCCTCAGCATCTCCCCCCTTCTCCAAGCACAAGCCTTCTGGGACTCGGCGAGCAGAGGGCAGTGTCAGATTCTGCCTGTTACTGCTGAACAACACATCACAGCTGTCTCCAAATCCTGCTCACTCCTCCTTCCCATGAATGCCTCCCCTGCTCAACCCAGCCTTACTCCCCCACAGCTCCATCACAGGGTTCTCCCTGCCCTCCCTCATTCCTCGATTACTGCATGGCTTTATGGTCAGTGCTTTCTTTTCACATTACAGTTCAGCTCTGGATAGGGTTGTTGTTTTGTTTTGTTTTTTAAACAAGCCCAACTGATGGAACAATGAAAAATTTAAATTACGTTAAAATAAAACCGAGGACTTAACTGAATAATAATTCATTTCAGTTTCTCAGTTTATTCTGACTTCTCAATTCTGCTTAAGGCTTTTTTGTCTATTTTTTACCCTTAAAAGTTTCTGTGCAACAAGGAAATCGGTTCTGCTCTAACGGTCTACTTCCAGAGTTGCACATTTATCATCCATTGCTCTTCAGAACTGAGAATATATCATCTTTTTCACGCTTAGGATCTCCAGTAACATTTTGGACTTGGGAAGCCACCATCAGGTACTCAGGTACTCATAGCACCACACATTTCAGGGTGGAAAAAAAACTATTCCAAGCATCCAACTGTGTTTTCCATACTATATCCTACGCCTTAAAGTTCCCCTGGAGCCACAGCAAAGCTAAAGCAAGCAGCTTTTGGCTGCTTCTACACTGGCCAACGTAAGGTTGGTAGCAACTTCGTGCTGCTTAGCTTTACGCACTTGGAAGAGACCTTGGTTTTATAGGCCAGCACTTCTGCAGACCAAATATTAATAGACATTTCATTGCTGATCATCACTAACCTCTCAATCACTTCAGGAACACCAAAATCTCTGGTGTCAATAGCCTCCTCTGATGTTCTGCAGAACCCCCTAAATCTTCTAGAGAATTCCAGCCCAGCTGCAAACATTAATTCCTCCCTCCCCTTTATTCAAGGCCTCACATCCACCTTCTTGAGATATTTTGCTAATTCTTCCCGCATCCTGTCTTTGCATGGCACTTACCTATCCATGCACAGATTTTTGTTGATGTAAATCATCTCCTTTAGCTTTGACAGACATAATCTAAAGCTGCTTCTGATATAGGAGAACATGGATTGTTCTTTTGGCTCAGCATCTCACCTTCCTCTTGATCAGACCTCATCATCTCCTTTTTCTGCAGTATTGATCACAATCACCTTTATTTTAAGATGCTTGATGCACTTACCCCATCTTTTTTCTCTCCCCTAATTACCGAGGAGACAATTCCCACCTGCAGTTTTCCAACAGCAACAAAACTCACATAAAATCCATGCAGCTCAAGATAACTCTTGTGGCATTTTTTTGTTATAATAAACAAACCAACAACAGTTTTGATTTCTTTGCTCAGCAACTCTTGGAGTTCAAATAGCAACTGAAAAGATACAGGCAATTTGGCCTCTGTCTCAGGTGAACAGGAGGCTACGAGGAGCTGACAATTTGACAATTTTCAGTGCAAGTTTTAAATAGCTTTCAGAACCTACAGTTGGTGCTTTTTTTTTTTTTTTTTTCCTTTTCCTCCAATTCGAAGGTTTGTTAATAGAAATTCACTGTGTTCCACAGAGGTGAATGCCTGCATGAAAAGGGCTACAAACATTTCACAAGAGCTGACCTGTTGAATATTTATAAATACATTAAGGATACTACACATTAATACAGGCAGACATATGTGCTTAGCACGAATATGGTGTTTTACAGTTCACCAGAACTTTCTAGGACATTAACACACCTCTGCTACGCCACAGAGCTTAATCTTTCAGCCATTCAGGAGTGGTAGCGATGAAGATAAATCCACCACATGCCCTGAAATATCTTAGAGCAGTCAGACTCAAGTTCTTGAAGGTATATTCAAAAACATCCTCAACCTATATGGAAACTCGCAGGAGACGCAGCTTTTACCTACTACTCCAAACAACTCAGTCCAGCTGGTGTCTACAGGCAGGCTGCACAGCTTTTCAGCTAACAAGTTCACATAGATGGCTGTGGCAACTCTGAAGCCTCTTTCCTTCACAAACATAAAAAGCAAGCTGAGAAATACTCCTGTAACAACAATGTAATTCCTGTGATAGTTTACAACAGTGACAGACACTTGCAACAGCTAATTCAGAGTACCATTCAGCCAGACTGGAAAGGAAAGCGTGTTTGTTTTTGAACTATGAGCAGTTGCCATCCGACCTTCAAAGAGCAAGCACTGTTCTCCTCCCTCCATCCAGCTGCTGTACTCTGCTGATAACAGCACCTGTTTGAAGTTTTACTTTTATTTTAAAAGCTCAAGGCAAAATTCTGCACTCAAATCTGTAGAGAGCATCACAACTGATGTCCTGCTGTCTTTGCGCACACGGAGCTGCTCTGCTCCTGGTCCAGTGCCCTGGGAGCGACCACTGTGCAGTGAGAGCCTACAGATGGAAGAGCATGAGGCACAGCGTAACCATGCACCGTATAGACAGGAGGTTCAGCACATCACATGCTCTCATCTACCCACTGTACACAGATCACCTTTCAGACTAGAGGCAGAGATTGATCTAAACCTGATTTTATAGGTACAGAAGATACAAATTAGAGGACAACAAAGAAAATGTAGAAACAAAGGAATTTAACCCGTATTTCCATAACACAATTAAACAGCCCAGACAAAAATAGTTTTCTTTTCAACTTCTGCATGAACATCCTACTGAATATTTAAAATAGAAACAAAACTAGGCTATCTATATTTGATCCCAGAAAACTTTTCTGAAAACTTTCCATTTCTACTTCATTATTTTCATTTCTGGAATACCTGATATACAGGAGAGAAAAAAAAAAAAACTATGATTAAATGCCTTCTGTCACATTATATATTTTCTCCGGTAACATAAGACAATATTGTAGAAGCACTGCTTTTGAATCACTCCAGAGCATTCAGCAGGAGTCAATTTATACTGCAAGTGAATAATGATGTACCTCAACTCATTTTAATTTCAATAATTGAATGAGAAATAGGAAAGTCTATTGAAAGGACTGTATTCTGGTCAAAGACTAATGAGAAAACAGTTTTGAGACTTTGAGTCAGCGGGTGTCATGGTAACAATGCATTATCGAAATCTGATTAGCATGCCCAGCAGCTTTATAAATGATAACATGCTCTTCTAATTGTATTTCCCTTTCTTTCCCTATGATGAGTTTTATATTCATAACTGGTAGGAAGCAAGGCAGCATTCTGTTCAGCTGGAAGTTAGGCTTAGGATGTCCAGCATGCTCACAAACTTGGTGCAACTTGTCACCCAATAATGGAAAATTTTTCCTACAATCTTAACGTTAGAAGCTGAGACTGTCTCTCCTCTTCCCATCTCAACTATATGGGATTTTGAAGTCACATATCACTCTTTCCTTTCAAATCTATGAAACTGTTTCTAAGGATATACACACGAAATAGAATATCCTGAAGCATGAGTGTGGACTATGTTTTGCAAGAGGAAAGGGTGCAGAAGTAAAGCAGAAGGGCTTCAAATCTGCCGCAGGAAACATTACTCCAGCTGCCCAAGGTTTTGAAAAGTGGAATTTTAGAGTGCTTGGAGGACTGCACACACATTTAACTCACAACCATATCAAAAACTGGGAGCAATTATGAAGTTCAATAGGATCCTTTTCCTTCTCATGAGGGAAAGAACTGATACAGAGTAATAAATACAAGGAAAATAGGAGGTTAGAAGCTTAGTAATGCTCCTTTTACAAGCAAACCAGAGGTGAGTACCCTGACTGACCTTAACTAACAGTAACAGGCTCTATCACAATTGCAGCCTCAAAAAATGCGAAGCAAAATCATTTCAGTACACAGACTCAGCCTTAAAAAAAAAAAAAAAAAAACAAACAACACAAAAAACCATTTTCTTACAGTATAAAAGCACCATTTTCATCAGAACAATCAAGAAATCTACTAAACTTCTGACTCATTTCTGGAACCACTGTACCCTAAGTATTTGTTTCTCATTTCTCACGTTTGCGTTTGTCTACTAATTCAGCTTCAAATCTGCATAAAGAAAAAGGAGAAAAGCTCATGCTCTTATTCTCCAGGTAAGCTACAACTCATTTAGTCATGTGACAAATAATACAAGAAAACAAATTTTCTGTATTTTTAATAGTGGAACCGTGTTTGTTACAGTGCATGAACACAAAAAATAAGCGGTCAACTCGATCTGAAAGCTTCTTAGTCCTTGTTACGTGCACTGGCACGTGGACAAAGCTTAAGACGTACAAAATACTAAAAGCAATCAATGTTAAGTCAACATAGCAAAAGCCAGAGGAACACTTATCTACATGTTTGGAAATTCAGCAGAGAGCGCAGGGTTACGCTGAGAATAGAAAGTCATCAAAGCAGGCCAGTGAGCAAAGAAAGAGCAAACAAGCACTCCCCAGAAGAGATTAGTACTTGTTCAGGGGACTGTTTGCACTAACCTTGGATGGAAGCAGCAGCCTGAAACCCAATCAGTGTGACCTTCACCCACCATGATGATGTTCCAATCAGGAAAAGCCCACATTTTCCAGAGGCAGTCATCACTGCCAGTGACTACTGTGTCTTTCAGGGGATGCGAGGCCAAGCTGCAAAACCAAAGAGAGGCAGGTCATGTTCTGTACCAGAATCATTTCAGCAACATCTAAACATGACTGTTTCTGGATGGACTAAATAAGCAGTGCGACGCTCTCTATCACAATCAGAATTTAAAATACTTGCTATGCAGATGAGTTTCTGCTTCTACTGATGGAAAGAGCAGAACATGACTGACATCTGTGAAACCAGACTTGTTCCCACACCCTCCTGAAGTTCCAGTGCGTTGAAACACTCCAGTGTATGTTTCTGAGCACTTTGATTGTTCTTAGAAAAACCCAACAGGATAACACAAACAACCACAACCAGCGTGAATCACTGTTCCCCACCCAAAATAATTTCAGAAGTACTGGCTTGCCAGCCTGCTGCTGACAGCTGAAAGGAACAAGGACAAAAGGACTGTTTTCTCCACTGTCCCTATAGGTCTGGAATCTTGTAGCACTGAAAAATAGCTCAAATTGCAGTCCAGTAGCTACTGGCTCTGCCATCACTTTAGCACCAATTCACTGGGATTAGGCTACGGTCAGAAAATCTATTTCAACTCTATACTCAAATCATGTAAACACGTTTTCCATTTTGCATTATACAGCACACCGGGACATAATGGAAATCACATACTTATCACGTCCCTATACTGCAAACTTGGTTTATTTTTGATTTGGCAAATGTAGCACAGCCCAAAACGGATCCAGAGAAGAAAATAAATCTCTTGAAAAGGTAACAAGTGCATATTTCATACAGATTTGGTTATTTGATTTAAATTATTGTTATGCTTTACCATTTGTTGAACATCAAGAAGTGTCTAGGAGCTGAATGAAGTCCCAGTATTATTTAAACAGACTTAATCTGGAGTTCAGAATTAAAATGCAACGAAGAAGAAAGGAATCACAACCTGTGCATGCACCTATTTCAGTTGTGCACCAGAGCTGACAGTTTTCAGAGAGAAATGCTTATAAAACAGAACCAGAATAGAGAGAGAAGATGCCAAGCAGCTAAATGGGAAGAAAAGAGAGGTCATGAAACGCACACAATTACTCTATCATAAAAGTATCTTTTTTGAAATAGGATCTTCCTCCTGCACTGTCATTATTTCATAAAATTCCTAAACCAGAACTGCAGGTTCTACTATATGGGGAAGCACGATTCCCTCTGTCTAACCAAGGCCAAAAACACACTCATGTCAACTAGCATCTGTTCCTGCAGTTTAAGACACAGTCTAGGAAGATTCCTACAGATTCAACACTTGAATCATCTGTTAGAACAAGGTATTTGGGCTTTACTCATTCTCTAATTTCTGAGAGAGAAAAAAAAGTTGTTTGTTTTTTTTTTTTTGTCTTGACCTAAATAAGAGTAACTTCCTTGGCATTTGCAGGGAGAAAAGAGGAAGGAATGATGTGATTTAAATTCTCCAGAGAGGCACAGAGAGCACCTGTATCATTTAGATTGGCCATAACAGATACGTAGGATGGCAAGGAGGGAAGAAAGATAAAAGAAGAGAAATTAAAATCTTGAGAAGGCATGCCAGTGGCTTGCAAATTACTGGCTGAGAACAACTCTCCCAGAATTCCCCTACCATCAGGGACCTCTGACACAAAAAATCCTGATACAACAACGCTGCCTGGAATAAATGCAGGAATGTAGCACCAGAAGCGTGCTATGCAAAAAGAGGACCCCACTTTCGAGAAAAATTAGTGGGATATCTGTAAGAGATGAATCCATCAGGACTACGTCTGCTCTTTCCTCGGGTTCTGAAACATCAAGACAGGTTGCATTAAACAGAATCTTTATTGGCATGCACACAGTAGTGCATATAAGCATAACATTGATTAGCTGAAGTTTTTCTCATAATTTCAGATAATTCAGATAGAAAACCCTCCATCTCTCAGCATCCAATTCTTCCCTTAAGATATTTTGTGTTAGTTGAGTGCATGCCTATTAAGACTTTCTATCACTCCTTTCTCTTACAATCTTCCTAAACAGTTACTTTTGTAGATGCATTATACAACTTACATTAAGTCACTATGGCATCTCTCACTGTAGATTCAAAGGGAAGTTGACACAAGTTGGATCCCTCCTTGCTTTCTGAACAGACTTCACTCCTGTCTCGGCTGCAGTTGCCCATCAATACGAGCTGTGCTGCCAGGCACCCTGCATCATCTCCAAGGAACATTTCTCCTTCCCTCAACCTTCCCAACACATTTCCAGTCCAGCTTTTGAGAAGTCTGAACTTATCCAGTGATAAGACATGTCTGGAGAGCTTAAAGACAATTCATCAAGTGTATATCACACAGAAGAAAACTTCTGGTCATCACAACAAGCCCACAAGAACATGTTTCACGGACTTTTAATTGCAGTACTCTTACAAAAGTTGCTGTCCAACGGTTTTTTTCCTCCATGCCAATTTTGTAGGGACACAGTGCACGCTATTTAATTAACAGCAAGTATGTGACATAACCACCGTTGCACCGCTTCTGAGAAAGGGAAGCCCATTCATCCAAAGAGAGTTCTATACACAGCGTTAATTAGACATCCTTGTCTTCATTTCTGGCAATACAGCACACTATAGATTTTTGCTTCATCTCTGCTCACAGGCTCTAATTATTTCCAGCACAGGTGACTTTGGGTAGATTGCAATGAAAATCAATAAAGGAACACGTGTGATAGAAACATCGGTTTTCTCCTCCTCTGGGATGGAAGTGGGATCAGAAAAGACTCAGTCCAGAAAAAGAAACTCAAAGATTCACTGCTGTTGATTGTGTATGTACCCATGTTTACACAACTCATTTTGGCATTATAAGCCACTCTCATTTCTTCAGCACTTGCCATGGAAGACAGATAGTACTACCAGTAATTTGCTTTCAAAACAATCATCGATTATTCTAATTTATTTTGAGTAATACATAAAAATATGCTATCTTCAAGATGCAAAACACTTTCAGTCTCAACACATACTGCATTTGATCACTCCATATGTACAAAATCAATCTGCTGGTTAAAAAGTGTTAAATCTGTTTGTTTTAACACCGACACTGACTATACTGCACCGGGGCAGGGAGGTGTCAGTTTGTTGATAAGGAAAGCTTTCTGGCAGTAAGATTTCTGCAGCACTGGAACCAACAGCTACCCGCTATCATTAGGCTATTCTTCAAGTTCTCAGAACACCTTGCACCTATTACTCAGGCAGACCAGACTGGTTGATGCCTGAGGTGCCTCCAAGTCCTACAGTAGCAATGCTCCTCTGGAGTCCCAGCTCATTCAGTGCACAGAGCAGTGCTCCTACCCGAGGGGCAATCACCAACTTAATAAAAGCAACACCTCAACCCACTTCTCACAAATAACTGCAGTTAACCCCAATTTCACAGATACAGGACACTAAGGTACAAGAAGAAAATCAACTGTTTTTTCAAAAAGAATTTCAGGGGACTAGAATAGGTCACAAAAATAATTACTGGATATTCAGCAATTCTAGCATACAAGATCTCAGGAGACTGCAGGAGCAGCAGGAGTCCAGAACTCTAAACTTTACACAGAAAATTTCTGTCTGAGGAGAGACACCCTGGTGAAATTAACAATGGCTCAAAACCCAGCCTTGTAATGGAAACTTGGGGAAACGCAGCTCTCTCTACCTCTGCCATTAAGTTATCCAAGCTTGCTGGAATGGAAAAGCAGAGCAGGCTTTGAAGGCAGGAATATCACAGGCACCAAATTCAAGAGGATGGCTTTTCATTGAGGCCTCAAAGCAAAACGACGTGTGCTTAAATTTTAGGAACTGTTTTACTGATATCAAGGATCCTCTTCACACGCATACACCTAATTACATTGCTGGAATAGGGCCTAAAAACCTAAAGAGTTTTTAAAAGCTGAAATTTTATTCCAGCCCCAATTTTGCTGGCACCTAGCTAGTGCTGAGACCCAAGAGAACCCAATCCGTTACAAACATAAGATGTGCAGGCTGCACCATGTAACTGCATGGCAGTTTCTTACCTCCTGTGTTTGCAGGGAAATGGAGGCCAGAAATCCATGGCGCTTCAGTTAGCGGGGTACGGCGTGAGGAGAGTCCATGCCATCACCCCTCTGCAGCCTTGCTCTCTAATGTTAGGGCCAATACGGAGGAAGAACACCTCGCAGGAGTTTTACATCATTAGAAAGGCTGATTATTACCTGATGATGGCTCAAAAGGCCACAGCTGGCAGACAGGATGGACTCTTCTGCCATCACAAGCACTGTGCAGAGGGACCAATGGGCACAAGCAACAGGACCAAGTACTCAGCTCCTTCCTCAAACACCTTTCAATGCACTTCTCCTCTTTACCTCCCTAATAGCAGCAAAGACAATAGGATATACCAAAATGGCTCTCACGCTCAATTTCCTGTCAAAATCTGGTCCTCAGTGTGAAGTTTATCCAAGCTGCAAACAGCAAGGTGCTGCAAGCAGCTCGCCCTGCCACCCAGCCCATGCAGAGACCCCGCCAGATGAACTTTCCTGACAGGAATGGCAGTCTGCGCAGAGCCTGTGGTGTATCAAGGGAAAGTCTCCATCTTGTTAGTTTCTCAGCCTATCTCCTCCTCCTGCCCTGCTGAGCAAGCAAGAAGCTGGATGCGGTCTGGCCCTCAGCCACATCACCCAGCATACACACCACAGAAGCCTCATTAGCTATTATGCCCATTACACTTTACCCTAATTTGTATTCTTTCAACCACATTTCACTAGAACAGTTATTTCTACCACCTTTTCATCTTGGCTTGGTGGTCTCACCTGCCAGTGTGCTTGAGCAACAATTGTGACCCTGACATTCAATTCAGGGGCTTATTACACATGGATAGCATAACTGAAACGGTTTGCGTTTCTGTCTGAGGTCTTAAAATGTCTTTTTGTAACAGAAGGGAACAGGGAAGAAAGGTTGCAAAAGACAAAATAACTGGAAAGGAAAAAAAAGGATGAAACACAAACTATGAAGAGAATGTAAGTAGGAGAAAGGCACCCACAGCACAGA